TGCAGAGGCTCCGCTCGCTCAGCGCCGCAAACTCCTCCTTAGTGCGAGGAGTTAGGTCCGTGCTACAGAGTAAGTCCAAACTGACCGTTGACAGTCCTGGGAATTCACAGTGACGTGAGTTGTTCAAAATGAATCTTGTTCCTTCCTCTGAGCATCTGCAGTGTACCGTGCTGTCTCGCGCTCTTCCTTTTTCTGACATGAATGCTGGTGTAGACACCTGTCAGTAGATGTTGCTTTTGAATAGATCTAAAGAACTCGGAACAACTTGTAAGACTTTTGCCTTGATTAGCAGGTAGGTGAAACAGGATCGGATCTTCTTTCCCTGACTGCCTGTACCAGAAGGTAATGGTTAGATGTTGTTATGTAACTCTGGAAAGCCAAGAGCAAAAGAGATTCGGGATGCAGAGCATCTAGAGACCAATGTAATCCCTCTCCACAGGGGAGGAGCAAGGAAGACAACTTGCCAGAAGATCCAAAACCGATGTGACCTTTACTTTCCTAATAAGGTGATTCTGAAATTCTGAGTAGAGGACTCCTAGCCTGAGCTGTTGAGCTACTTGGTACAGGTATGTGATAGACTCTTTGGGTACCTGCAGGCTGAAGATTTGAAATAAGTATAAAAACTGCTTCAATATCGGAAATGTATGGGTGCTATCTAGCTGCTGTTAGACAAAGCCATTAAAAAACCCCAAACCACACATTTAGAGAACTACCTTGAATGTGTAAATAGAAAAAGGTTTTTTAATCAGCAAACTTAATGTTGCTATCTCAGCAATTTTTCTGATATATCAAGAATGAAGCTATGCCATAGGATAGACACACCATGTTACTTCTGATAACTGAATGTCAGAATTGACCTCGTTATCTTATTAGGACAGACCTCTCATTAGAGCTCCATGTGGATGTGACACTGACAAATATAAATCTAGCATGTGACAGATGCTCTGCCAGCCATGCAATGGCCTCTGAAGCAAACATAGTCTTAACACTAGAAATTTGCTTCTAGTTCTGCATAACTGGCTGACTTGCCTGACGGGCAGTTACAGTGTAAACCTATTCCACTTGCTATGCTACTGAGAAGGTCTGCCTACTCTTGAAATTGTGTCGCTGTGTCTGGGAAACTTCCTAGACTGCTGCTCTCCCCTCTCTTCATCTTACTGTCTTCTGTAAAATATTAACTTTGTGTGAAGCTTTAAAAGTGATTCTTGATTAAGAGTAAGGTGGTACTACTCCTCATGCAGAAACTAACTGCTATTTCAGTGAGTGCTGCTACTTATCAGTTTTCATTCTAGTGTTTCTAATAGTTGCTTGAATACTAAGTTGCTGGAAGACTGTCCATAACTAATTAGCCACAGAAAAGCCTTTTTTAGCTGCCTTCCCTGCTCTTTTATTCCTCATCACATGTGTAATAAGGGATGGGAGGAGAAGATTTGCATTGAAGGCTTCTACTAAACAGCTCCCTGCTTCTAAAATAGCCTCTGGCCAAGCCCCAGTTTGTGCAAGGTAACTTGGCTTTATCAGAAAGAGGTGGCATTAACTGGAGTTAATTAAGAATAACAGTGATCCCACTTTTTTTTTGGAAGTGGTGAAGCCTGAGCACTCCTGTATTGTAAAGGCCTAACTCTCTATGGCTGGGAAGTGTGGGTGCTGTATTGCACTTGTGTGCCAATGGTAGAATTACAGCTCTGATTTCCCCAGAGGGTTTTCCCCTCATATTCCATCGGCAATAAGGATGCTCTTGTGATGAGTATGCAGCATTCCCCAAAAGTAATCTTACTGGCATATACAGGAAAAAGCATTTTTCACAATTATAGCATGTAGTGCAAGCTGCTGTTACTTTGTCTCTTGAAGGTCTTAACATGGGAGGCTTTTTAACTAAGCAGTCATTACTAAATCTTTTACATTTTTTAAGCTGAAGGTCACTCTGGTAGTTTTACTCTCATTTCCTTTGCCCTGCCCCATTCAACTTTAGGTGAAATACTGTTATAGAAAGTACACCTCCCACATTCCTCCCCCCTGCCCCCAAACCCAAAAAACCAAAGCCCAAAGACTTAATACTTGCACCTTAAACATAACTGCTTGAGGACTTTGGTGTATTTGGGTGAACTATAGTAGATTTGCTTTTGAAGCCTCTTCCTATAGCTTTGGCTTCTATGGTAGCAGTATTTCTTTTCAGAAACATGCCTGCAGGCATTAACAATAGTGAACTTAGCAGCAGAATGCCTATAATCCTGAAAAACTTCGTTTAGAAACTAACGCCAGCCTTGCATTGAATTTGTCCCCTAGCAGCCTTCTGCAATTTAAACTGCCTTTCTATTTGTCCTTTACTTACAGCTTCTGAATTGGATAATAAAACTTCACAAATGAAGTTCTGAGTAGAAGCTGGTATTAGGCAAAAAAGAAAAGATGCATTTATTAATGGAAAAATGGTTTATAGCTGATGTTTTCACTTCTTGATTGCTGTAAGAACTGAGATAGGCTATTTGCAGTTCCCACCAGTGAATATGACTAATCTTGCTAATCAGTAAATATGCTTAGATGCTTGCTTTGATAGTAAGCATAGTGGGAAGGGATATAGCACTAGAAGTGCCACCAAATATATATGGATGGTGTTAGTAATCCCTTTGAAGATCAGGAATTCACAGCTTTTAATATCTTATAGTAAAAGTGATAAATTAAGTCAGTGCTGCTCCTGGTATGCTCATGGGCTTTTTTAGCTCAGGTATGCTTTAAGGGAAGAGTGGGACTGAAAGCTAGTTGTAATCTCCAGTATTTCTCCCATCAAGAAGTGGGAGAATAGGCTTAATCCTGATTCCAATCAGTTGCTGGTGGAAAGAGTAGTGAGGTTGGAGTTCAGTGTCTAGAAAACAACACAACTACCAGAGAGGCCTTTGGTTTCTCTTCCTAGTATAGTTATGACATGCAAATGTACTGTGCTAAGGATAGAATTAAGGCTGCAGGAAAGCTTTAGCTCTAGGTATACAGTGCCCTAAAGCCAGAAAAATAACAGCATGAACTAGCAACGATACTGTAGCTTTCAGTGCCAGAACACTGAAGGTGTTTGAAACAAAACTATCCAAAGCTAATAAAACAAGTGCTACCATCCCAGTTACTATCATGCACCATTAACTAGCAGTTTGTGCCATTGTAAATCTACAGATGCTCAATACCTGATTCCGTATAGGGTGCTGGCTCCAGGCTCCTTGAGTGGGAAGGAGAAGAGGATACGCCTGCAGAAGGAATGACTTCTACATTTACCTTTATCTCATTGAGAAGTGCAGTTTGTGCTTTGAAAAAGTGACCTTGAATTTTACCTAGTTGTCCTTTTCCTAGAAAGTGAATGTCCGTGGAATAATCTTTCCAAAGATATGTAGGCTTGTTTACTCCTACAACTCTTAGCATAACTATGGTATGGTGCAAAGATGTGAGGAGCTTTCCAAATAGAAGCTAGAAAGGGCTTCTTGATGCAACCTGATTATCTTGACAGTATTAATGTGAGATCACACTTGTTTCTGTGCCTAGAGAAAGGGAATTTACTGGGCAGTATATCCAGAGGAAGTTGTGCTCTTTTCTGTCCCAGAGTTCAAACTGATGCAGATCCTTTGAATTTTTAATCAAATCAAAAAGCATTCAGAATTTTAAAGGTAAATACCCATAGATTTGGCCAAGAAAGATCTTTAAGAGGAATCTCTAAGTTGCTGTGTTGCACTCAAATTTGGACTGGAAATTGTTTAATAAGGGTAAATAGGTCTCGTACATCCTGGAGGTCCTAGTTCTCCATCTCTTAACACTTTCTACCTTGCCATATCAAAGCAAAATCACTTGAGACACCCGAGAGCCTAACCCGGCTAGAAGTGACTTTCTAGTGTAAACAGTGAGTATTCATGTATAACATCCTGCTTCAAGGACAGGTCCTGCAACTTTCTGTTCTGTTTGGATCTACTACTGTTAACATCTCAGTTGTCTTAAAGAGCTCTTCCAGTTTAGTTGGTGATAATAAATACAAATGATCCCTTAGACTGGAAGAGTCTGATAATATTCTTCATTGTGTGTAAAGATAGGAGCAAGACTTCTGCAAGAAAAGATGATCTCCCAGTTGTTAAATCTGTCCTTTTGTAAAGGATTCATGTGAATTTATTTTAGAAGGAGCTGTCATGAATAAGCTGAGTTGACTTGCTAGAGCAGAGGATAAAGAAACAAAGCTGTCATACCCAAAGTAATCAGCATGTTCTTCCTGGCCAGCTCTGCACCTTGAAACTCTCTACTGATGCTCCTGACTGGCATCTGCTGTAGAACTTCATATATTCTAGAAGCATCAGCTGTGTGGGAGTTGCCAGTGACTGAAGTCACCCATTCATGGAGTCCATGTGGGCCTGCAAGGTTCTTCCCAGTGCCTGCTGAGAAATAAGACTGAGACAGACTTGGGTCTGATCTTTGTATAGTTTAACAGGATTTTTCCAAAAGGTGGAAGTAGGGGTTAAATTGCCTCACAACTTCAAGCAAGCAGTAGCAGTGTTATTAAGCAGTAATTGTGGTGTTAAACAGAACTGTCCAAGAACAGTAAATAAGAATTAAGGAAGTACTCACGCAGCTCTTCACACAAGGACAGCAATAAATGCCTACCTCTCATAACTCCTCCGAACTGCTCCTGTGCATGCTTTGTTCAGAAAAAGCACCTTCCCAAACAGTGGACTTCCTGGTCCAGCTGTACTCCTCAGGATCCCAAAAGAAACTGGAATGGTAAGAGCCCAGTGTGCAACCTGATAAGAGAAAGCCTTGTCTTAAGACAGAGGTCTGCATGCTTAAAGAGCCCTGTTTCTCTCTCAAATAGGAACTTGGAGACCTGCCTGTGTTTTCCAGGTCAAACTGAGACCATTGCAGTCTGCAGCTGTTAAAAAGGGGTGGGGAGAAATACATTCTCTTACAGACCAGATAGATTTAGTCCTTTGTTACCTAGACCTAACATCTAGCTCTTGTTTTCAACTTGTTTCTCAAGACTGCTTGCAAAGGTCTGTGCCTTGCTAGCTATTATGCTGAGGTCTAAAAACAGCTTGCCAAAAGACCCTGGTGATACAGAGGATGGTGATGTGCAAAGTTTCATACCTTATATAGCTGATGCTGCCTACTCACGTGAAGTCTGGCAGAGTGGTAGCATTTGCAATGCTAGTTTCCAGTATTAAAAGCTATTTTCTAAGTGACAGTAACTGTTTAGTTCTAATAGTAAGGTTATGTGCTGCACCAAACTGCTGTAGAGAAACAATGCTAGTAGGCTGTCACTGCTGCTAGCCCTCTTCTGCAGCTTGCACAATTGCTTAATGTGGATGTGTAGTGCCTGCACGAGAAGCAAGGTAAACCATCTTTTATGCTGATGCTGTACTGTTGTGGCTAGATCAAACAGTGCTGCAGTTCAGACATGCCCTGAGGAAAATGAACTACATGAAAGTCACTCTTAATCACCCTCAGCTGATCACCCTGTGTTGAATAAGCACTGCAGAACCAAGATGATCATGACAAAAATCATACACCTCTCCGGCTGTAGTGGGCACATAGCTCTGCTGAGGGTGTGTGGTGTGGTTAGTTTTGTTTTTCTTACTTGGGCAAAATTGGGTCTGCAGGACTTCATTGGCTGTATCAATTACACTTCAAGCTATTGGTTGCTGTAGTTTACAGGACTGGAAACGTAGCCAGAGTGTGTGCAAGTTAGTTATGTCACATTGGACCCTAGTGACACTCATGCTGAACTTCTCTTTAGTGGATGTGTCCTTGCTGAAAGGGCTATGTGGCAGTGTGCACGGGTCTGCCATTCCATGAGACATCAGGGAATAAACTTAGTCTCTAGCTTGAGTTCTGTTGGTAAAGATAGTGCACTGTAATTGCCTTGACTCTTTCATGTTGAAATGCTGGTGAGAATTCAGGTGCAGTGGATAACACTCACAATAACCTAATGGTTCTGGCTCAAGGTTTGTTAAGACTGACTTCTCCTGAGGGGATTGTATGAAGACTGCAACAAGGATGGTGAGGAAGAGCCTTTCCTGGAAAGGGGGAAGAATCTTCCATGGGAAGATAATGGAACAGATCCTCCTGGAAGCCATGCTAAGGCACATGGAGGACAGGGAGGTGATTCGAGACAGCCAGCATGGCTTCACCAAGGGCAAGTCCTGCCTGACTGACCTAGTGGCCTTCTATGATGGGGTGACTACATCAGTGGACATGGGAAGGGCTACAGATGTCATCTCTCTGGACCTCTGTAAGGCCTTTGACACGGTCCCCCACAACATCCTTCTCTCTAAACTGGAGATGTATGGATTTGATGGGTGGACTGTCTGGTGGGTGAGGAATTGGTTAGATGGTCGCATCCAGAGGGTAGTGGTCAACGGCTCAATGTCCAGATGGAGATTGGTGATGAGTGGCCTCCCACAGGGGTCCATACTGGGACCGGTACTGTTTAATATCTTCATCAATGACATAAGACAGTGGGATTGAGTGCACCCTCAGCAAGATGACACCAAGCTGAGCGGTGCAGTCGACATGCCAGAGGGACGGGATGCCATCCAGAGGGACCTGGACAAGCTTGAGAAATGGGCCTGTGTGAATCTCATGAGGTTTAACAAGGCCAAGTGCAAGGTCCTGCACCTGGGTCGGGGCAACCCCCGGTATCAAT